ATACCACAAGTGATCTCCCGTCTACTGAATTTGGATGTGTTACTGAACACACCCCGTAGCTCATTCAACTCCTGTAATCTTCTTTCCTTGCACCGTAAATTGCCTACTTAATGCCTCAATCACTTCCCCTACATGATGCGTAATGTGGAGAAACACTTCATTGCCAATTGATCTGTCCAATTGTTTAGATGTAGAAGCCCCTTGAAGTCTTTAATCACCCAGCCAATCTGATCTTTAACGTTAAAACCAGCCACCACTCGCTTTGGTAGCCTTATTTCAGCTTCCGCATGATGTTATAACTTTTAGGTATGTTCACTGAATCCCATCAATGAGTCGATTTAGATCCTCTTCTTCCAGAGACATTCGTCGTATTTGATATTGGCATTATTGCGTAAGGGGCTAGTTATATATTAGTCAAATACCCAACAATTCCACTAAAGGAACAACGACCAAAGGCAAATTTGCTTAGCTTGTTTAAGCTCATGCCTCTGCATCAATATGGTAGGATGGGTACCAATTATTTGGTCTGTCCAAACTTTAGGTAGCGTCGACACAAAGTTTCACCAATGAGAAGATACAAAAATATAATCAAAAAAGAGACAAAGAGAGAAAGACAGAGAAAGCGAGAAAGAGAAAGAGGGAGAAAGAGAGAGAGAAAGAGAACGAAAGGTGAAGTAAAAAAAAAAAAAAATGAAGAGAGTAAAAGCTGTTAACAAAGGTTACACTGATTGACCAAATACATATCTTACCCTCCCGTCCAAAAAAATAAAATAAAATGCAAGATTTACCACCAATAGGAGGCTATGATCCCATCCAATGGAAGAGAAATTTACCATCGCGTGGATTTTCCGGCACAACCTACTTTTTCGGTATTTTAGCCATCATGTCATTTGGATTTTATCGTTATTATCAAGGTGTCAATGAGCAACGTGAATTGACAAGAGAGAAAAAATGGGCTAGATTCCATTTAGAACCTTTGCTTTTAGCAGAAGATGATCGTAATATTGCCAGACGTTATTTTGCTGAAGAAGAAAGACAAAAATTGGTTAAGGAGAGTGCAACTAGCGATGAAGTTAAGCAACGTTTGGATGAGGAGTTGTATCATGATAAGAGCAAGTTTAGATTCCCAAGGTATGTTCCTGGTATTAATCCTAAGGATGTATGAGAAACTAGGACAAGGGGACTAGAAACGTGATTTGAAGAAGAATGAGGACGAGTTCAATTGACGTACTTTTGTTGATACTGTAGATAGGACCAACATAGAGATATACAAGTTTGAGATACTGGAGAAGTAACGACTAGAGAGGAGATGCTCTCACAGGCTCCCATTTTGAATGTACGTGTTTGTTTTTTTTTTGGCCCTTGCAACATATGTTTACATGTTTTTTGCATGTTTGCATCTGTGAAATGTAGAATTAATAGTATCTCTACTTTTACTCGATTGCGTATACAAAACAAAAAAAAATTATATGGAGCTCAATTTTGGAACACATTTGACCACTATATATATCCCAAGATGGGACTAACTAAAACTCAATACGGCTTAATCTTTCTCAATGTTGCATTTCGACTATACTCATCCTTGTACATGATTATTGGAGATTGTGATGAAACATTTAATTATTGGGAACCACTAAATTTACTATTGCGTCAATTTGGTAAACAAACATGGGAATATTCACCCGTGTACTCCATCCGATCATATGCTTATCTAATACCGTATTACATCATCGGTAAAGTGATTCAGCTATTTGGTGCGTCTCCCATCAATGTGTTTTATGGGTTACGTGTCGTGGCACTTTGTGGGTTCACTTCATTTGTCGAATTGAATTTATTTGCCAATTTGCATTATTACTCAACGAATTTGGCCAACTGGTGGCTATTTCTAACCAGTATTAATGTCGGTATGAGCCATGGTGGTGTGGCATTGTTGCCCAGTTCATTGGCTTCGCAAACGACACTATTGGCAAATACCTATATTTTTAGAAGTCTTGTCGTTAATAACGAAAAAACACGCGATCGAAGTAGTAACTTGTTGAAAGCAGTTACTTGGTATTTAATTGGTGGGTTCTTGGGATGGCCCTTTGCATTAGCTTTAGGTTTACCTATTGGAGTTTACACATTATGGCAAATTGCTCAGCAGCGTATATCAGCTGTCATTTTAATCAAAATTGGGTTGGTTTTGCTATGCATAGTCAGCACTATCACTTTAATTGATTCCTTTTACTTGCAGAAATTGGTGTTTGTGCCAATAAATATTGTATTGTATAATGTCTTTGGTGGTGATGGTGAAGGACCCGAGATTTTCGGAGTTGAGCCATTAAGTTATTACATTCTCAACTTGTTGTTAAATTTTCAGTTTATTTTACCGTTGGCTGCTTTGGGAGTTTTGCTTAATCCATTCATCACAACTAACGCCAACCGATTTAGTACAATTGTATCTGCCCAGTTGATAATTTGGTGTGGCATATTTTTCAGCCAACCCCATAAGGAAGAAAGGTTTATGTATCCCATTTATCCATTGATTACGCTATCAGCAGCAATCACTATATCTAAGTTGACAGCATTTGTGAAGAATAAGTTACCCCGCATTGTCTACTATGCTGCTCAATTTGCATTTATTGCCACTTCATTCACCATTTCAGTATTGAGAATAGTCAATTTGGTTGAAAATTATGCGGCTCCACTACACATTTATCAAGCAGTATCACAATTGCCTGTATCATTGTCGTCTACACAACAAGTCAATGTATGTACTGGTAAAGAATGGTATCATTTCCCGAACTCCTTTCATTTACCACCAAATTATCGATTAAAATTTGTTGAATCGGGATTTGATGGATTATTACCAGGGGATTTTTATGAACCAAAAGAGACCATAATTGAATCAACAACATTTGTTCCACTGCACATGAATAATCAGAATCAATTTGAATCTGACAAAGTAATTCCTTTAAATGAATGTGATTACTTTGTTGATAATTCTCAATTAGGGTCTACGCCACAATTGATGAGACCTGATTTATCCATCGTTGATGATGCCAACTGGCGTATTTTACAATGCAGAAAGATTATCAATCCAGATGGACATCATAATTTGCTTGGGAAATTGATTTATATCCCATATCCTTTGAGAAGGTTAGTGCCGTACAATGTTGAGTACATGGATTTGTGTCTATTGCAAAGAACAAAACAAGGAGAAGAAAAGGTGTAGCTGCTTCATTAGCATATGATAATGTAGACAGAGATGCTGTTGATACAAAAAGGATGTATAAAAGTGTACAAAGTTTTATCTAAATCAACTCAGGTGTTATACACACATTTATAAGACATACGTTAATATACGCAATAAAATTCTCATCTCATATCCTTCATACCTTTGACAAATTTTATGCCCGTATTTCGAGTGTTTTGCAAAGTAAATAGTTATATCTCTTTTCATATACATCCCAGCTGCATTTTCTCTTTCTATGTTTTTCTGTTTTTCTGTTTTTCTTTTTCTAACAGAATTAAGCATAAAATTCATCCAATGCCTTTCTAGTTTTGACAAATCCATCCTTAGCTCTAGATAATGCATCTTCAATTGCTGCTATCCAGAAACCATCACTTGATTCATCATCATTTTCACTCGTTATACTCTTTCCACCCGTATTTTTACTTGATGATGTTTTATCATCTTTTGTTGTATCTTTTGTAGTCTCCTTTGACGATGATTCTCCATCATTTGTGGTGGTGGTGTTGGTGGTGGTATTCGTGGTGGTGGTTCCATTAGTCGTTTTTAATTTATCGCCTTCCTTCTGTACATCCTTTTTAGATTGACCTTTTGCCTGACTAAAGTTATCGAAATTAATCTTGTGCCCATAGTTTTGAATACGTTCACATTCTTCTGATATGGAAGTCAATCCTAAAGCTGCAGCTGATCCTTTCAAGAAATGACCGGAAGAACTCAACTGCTCTAAATCTTTTTCCTGTAAATATTGTTCAATTTTATCAAATGTTTCTTCAACTTGTGATACAAAAGTTTCCACCAATTGTTGAGAAAACCCTTCTTCGTCTTCATCCATTTGTAAAATTTCGGAAAATACCCCCCAGTCAACTAGTTTAGAATCCTGTAATTTGTGCTGTTTATCGGATGAATAAATATCAGGCACATATCTCTCTTCGTCGTCTCCTCCTTGTGGTGATGACATATTGTTTAGTAGTTAGTTTGGTTGGTTGGTTGGTTGTTGAATTTGTTATATATATATATTAATGATATGCTGTTGTGAGTGTGTTACAGTGTATGATTGTAACCAAGCTGTGGTGCTTCAATTGTATGTTATTAAAAGGGGGATGATATGATGGGTTGTTGTTTTTTTTCTTTTTAGTAGACAAAAATTAAAAAATGAAATTTAAAAAAAAAAAAAATAAAAAATAAAATAAAATAAAATAAAAAATTAAATGTTCTTCTGGTGGTGTTGATGTGTGTGATGTAAAATGAAAATGATGTAATTTTGCTCTCTTTTACAATAGAAAGAATAAAAATTAAAATTAAAATAAAAATAAAAAAAAAGAACCAATTTGTGTGTGTGTACGTATGGTTGTATTGGGTCCGACGTAAATAGTGGCTTTACTGGGGGGACTACTGTACTCTGGTGTTACACATATATATATATATCTAATTTCACTGAAAATGCTTTGATAAAGTCTCGATAGTTTTATCAAGTGTGATTGGTCAGGTCAATGTTTTAGTTGTAATAACCTAAGTGGCAAAACAGTTTGTTAGTCTTTTAGTATCCGAAATTGTTTTGCACTTGGTGGTAAAAGTTAGGTGGTGCCAACCAGTATCTGTTTCCTATTCAAAATATACACAATTATATGATGATACAATCTGTTTATGTTTAATTCAATATTTGATGGAAACCCGATCCCTTGAAATATAATAAGTATGTAGTTCCTTTGAAAATTGACAATGTCGTTAGACGTTGGTTAGTCTTTTTTTTTTTGCTATTGTTTGTTGTTGTGTCAAAACAATAAAGTTAAAAAAAAAATTATTGTTGTATTAATGCAATGTCGTAGATGTTCTTTTTTTGATTCTTCTCGCTTGAATCGATTCTGGCCATTTGATTCTGATTCCCTCCCATAGCGCTAAAGACTTTGCAGAACTTGCAGAGAAACACTACATTTATTACTACAGCCACACAATAGTTATGAGTAGATATGTACACACCTTCTTCCTTTACCCTCGTCTTTACAAAGAATTCGAATAGATCCAACTTCTTAGGCCTTTGCCAAAAAAAAAAGTACAAAATAAAAAGACCCACATAAATAGAATTGGTTCCGAAATGGTTCTCACATACATACATAGAAAAAATAATATGAGTTGATTTTCTTGGGGTAGTGTAATTGTTGTTAAAACTAGAAAGAAAGAACGACAAAGCACAAAAAAAGACGTTGAAAATCAATGACGTCAGAGCATATGTTGGGGGAAATAGATCTGCTTGGATCTTGGCTCATAAACTAATAGGAATACGTGTTGTTTTCTTGGTCATTTCTCTAAAAAAATACATACAACGTTAAGCACATATGTATGAAGGAAGGAAAGTGTAGAAGACTTGAGTAAATAAAACCCCATATTGCATTTTACTAGTTTTGATTTTATGTCTATTTTGTTTTCCATGTAGCACTTCTTAAATTATCTTTGCTTTCACTGGTATGATAGTCCTTTCGTTTAATTAGACTTCCTGTTTGCAATATTTATTTACTGTTTATTAGCATTTTTATTGGTGTGCGTTGTGACTCGTTTTTGTATTCACATATATATATATATATACACCAAAGTTTCAAAGACTTTTGTGTGTTTTTATGATGAATGGCTGGTTTATTGTTCATTGCTTATTGTTTGTTGTCTTTTTTTTTTTTCACTTTCTTTTATAAATAAGGGTTCCCATGTATTTATTGTTCAACTTTCTCTTTGAAAGGAGTTTCTATAGATTGTTAGACCACAAACGTGTCCATACTCGAAACGAGTCTAGATTAACGTGCATTAATTTTTGTTTTCTTCTTTTGTTACACTTTCCCTTTAATTTTGCCCCATTTCAGTTTGAAATTACTTGCATTGAATTGATATTTTCGCAGCCCTAAATGATAGGAGATATGATAACTACTAAGTTGCCGAACCTGTTACTGAATAGTAAAGGCAAGGCATTTTCAAACAACTAGACGATCACTTTCATCGCTTGAGTTTACCCATGAGCGATTTTTCGTATTCTCAGACAAAGTTATCTCAAGCTAAATTCTTAAAATACAAGGAGTAGATAGTTGACAAACTTCTTAGCTGATAACTGATAAATATAGTTTGTCTAATTGCAGCATGTATATTTTTATTTGTCTATTAAACCAGTCTATCTAGTCTATATTATCAATCTATTATCAATCTCCATCTCCAACTGCGTATTTGTAAGCGGTTCCACAATTCTATTTAGGACTTAGTGGGTAAATTCATATACGTCACCCAATTTGTTGATATAATACGTTGGCGCATCCTCTTTTGGTAATTGCTTCACATTAGCTTCAGTTTCAATCCCTGTCAAGACCAACATTGTGTCCAACCCTCCATCTCTTCCAAATTTCATATCAGTGTTTAATCTATCCCCAATCATCAATCCTCTTTTGGGATTTTTCTCCAATCCCGGCAATTGGGCTTTGATTGAATTCATCATACTTTGATTAGGCTTACCACATATAGCATCTGGTTGTCTTCCACTTGCGTATGCTACTGTTTCGATAATTGACCCTGCTCCAATCAATAATTTACCCTTCATGGGGAACGTAGAGTCAATATTAGTGGCAATAAATGGAATACTCTTGTCATCTTTGAGCAAATATTGCATGGTGAGGGACAATTTCAAGTAATTGATATTAAACGTCAATCCACAAACAACACAACCAACATCAGCATCTAAATTGTCAAACAAGTTGGTATTTGGATCAAACTTGACTCCATCTTTAACTAAATCTGGATCAGTGCCTCCTACTGTAGCATAACCCAATTCATGCAACTCCTTTTCAATCCCTTCTTCACCCAACACCCAAACTTTCTTATCTTTGGATAACTTCAAAATTTTATCAACATAAACTGCTGATGCAAATGATGATCCAAAAATCTCCAGTTTAGTTATATTGGAAATACCCATTTTTTCGAATTTTGATAAATAGTCACTACGTGACTTGGTTGAGTTGTTGGTGACAAATATCACGGTTTTCTTTTGTTGTCTTAGGTATTCTAAAGTTTCACCAATGGAGGGAAGTAAATGATCACCTAACCACAACACTCCATCACAATCAAAAAGAAAGTAATCATATTTGTCAATTATCAAGCTCTGGACTTGTGTCTTTTCAGTAATTTTCACTGACATTATAGCTCTGGGGTGGATTAGCAAAGGATACAGAGGCTCTATGAACTGCAAAGTATGAATTAATCGTCCTGTTTTTTTTTCCCTTAACCAATTTGCGCGATTGTTGATCTACACACTCACCCGAGATAATTGGCAGCACTCGATTGGGTGATACCTATCGCAAGAGTTTCCAGAGGAGATAAGCAGCTATGGACTAAATACATATTGATCGACCATGTTAACCGGAACCGGAATTGTCTGGCGAAAGCTGGAGCTAACTAGGCTGATTCCAATTCAAGGACTGATTAAGAGTTAGTGTCAACTCTAAACGGACCTCAAGGCTAACCACTTCCGGCCATGATCCTCTATTCTTTACATATATAAGCGTCGCTTGATCAATTTGCACATAGAGTATCCCAGTGTTGCAAAACTATCAATACGAATAATCTTCGGGATCAAAAATGTGAGGTTCGGCTTTTAAATAAATAACAATTGAGGGAAAAAAAAAAAAAGAACAAAAAAAAAAGGATACTGAGGAAACTTTGCGCCTTATTAACCTTTGGAATCTGATTAGTAAAGCAGAATTTTGATTCACCAGTACATACAATGGCGTCAAGTTACTACGCATACGATTCAGAAAGACCGGAGCCAACTGCTGGATTGGCTGATCCTGAAGCAACAGCAACAGCAACAGCAAGATATGACGGGTACACACATCAACCAAACGGGGATAGTCGACAAGATGATGCATATGATTCTGCATCGTCATCCGAAGACGAGCCGTTGGACACGGACAACAAGGAAAAGACCAGAAGACCATCAGACCATCCTTTTAGGCAACAACGATTAAAAGCTTACAATCCGGTGTTGACGGCCAAAACTGTGATTCCATTACTAGTGGCTATAGCCATAGTGTTCGTGCCTCTTGGAGCTGCCATGTGGTATGCATCAGACAGAATCCAGGATATAACTATCGAATACACTCAATGTCAAAATTTGGCGATGGAAAATGTGTTTACTCCAATACCAGATAATTACACCGACTACAACTTTAAAAGAGAATTTGCTGACCATAAACCCAGCTTTGCTTGGAGAATAGTGACTGACGATTCACAACAATTTGAGGAAGATAAAAAAGTTTGTCAAATACAATTTGAGGTGTTGACTGAAATGAAAGGACCTCTTTACCTTTACTACAGACTACACAAATTCCACGCCAACCATCGTCGTTTTGTTAAATCATTTAGTGAAGATCAATTGAATGGGTTAGCTGCAAGTCTAAATGACATCAAAAACACTGTTGGACAAAATTGTGAACCATTATCAGAAAGGGACGGAAAGAAGATATATCCGTGTGGACTTATAGCCAATAGTTTGTTCAACGACACTTACTCCACTGGATTTGAGGCTGTCAATGGTACAAGTTCCGATAAAACAGTCAAACTCACTGAAGAGGGTATCAACTGGTCAACTGACAAGAATAGGTATAAGAAGACCAAGTACAACCACAATGAAATAGTTCCCCCACCAAATTGGTACAAGAAGTACCCTGATGGATATAATGAGACAAACGTGCCTGATATTTCACAATGGCCCCAATTTCAAAACTGGATGCGCCCAAGCGCCTTAGCAACATTTAACAAATTAGCCTTGCGAAACGACTCAGCAACATTGAAACAGGGAACTTATCAAATCAATGTTGGATTACATTTCCCCGTATTGCCCTATAATGGTGGGAAATACATATATATATCACAAAGATCGGTAATTGGTGGCAAGAATGACTTTTTAGGTATTGCTTGGATGGTTGGTGGAGGAATATGTTTTGTATTGGGATTGGCTTTATTAGTTATCAATTTCATCAAACCAAGAAAGACTGGTGATGTCAATTTATTAAGTTGGAACCAAGAGGCGATAAAGAGAGATGAGCATGATGCGTCAGTGGCAAACACTAGTGGATTTGAGAAGTAGATTATGCAGTTGGGGTGTCGGTGATTTAGCTTAATAATCGATTACACTCTATAGTTTTCTGTATTGATAGAAATTATTTTTTTTGTTTTGTGTCGACGACCACTGGTAACGGTTATCAGGTCTATTGTATTTCCGCTGTCGTGCGCCTTCGGAATATAGCACGATGCCCTTAGGGTATGCGACGCAGAAAAGTGTAGAATGTTGAAGAAAAATAAAACCCTTTTCACCTACTAGATCTCCACTCGATTACGCTCTACTACTTTCGGATAGCGGGCAAGACCCAAAAAAGGATAATAAATGTCACAGGTGCCCCCATATGATTACAAATGAGGCGCAATATCCCCATTCCTGTTCCCGCTCTTGTGATCAGCGTGTCTCACTTTCACTCTCACTCTCACTCTCATCTTGGAACTAACTCCGAAATGTACACAATTGCAACAAAGTCTCAGTACATCCGGAGTTATGTCTTTTCTTTTGGGTTTGTGTAAAATAACGGAAAATAAAAGCAAGTGATGCAGTGCTATTATTAATATAGGTTTTTGTTGGACAAAACTTGCGGTTTTCTTGTCAGAAATTGTGGCTGTCTACTAACGAATGGCAAAATACGAGTTATACAATGGAAAGTTTGTTTTTTTTCATTTCGCTGTTCTCCTTTTCCAATTGGTATATAAATAGTAATTGAATTTTCACTCCGTAAAGAAAACTGAATAGATATATAGCATCAACATTAATAATGTCTACCCCAACTACATCTACACAAGTCGTTCTCAAACAATCACCACCAAGTTTCATCAACCCAAACTTTGGTGAATCTGATTCCACTTTTGAAATCAAACAAAAGCCAA